GCAAAGCCAGATACCGTGTTTGCGAAAACAAATTCCTTGTTTATAATATTAATAGATAGATAGATAATACTTTATTTGTACACCAGGGTTTTTACAGGTATTGTAAAGCATAAAATGTACAGCAGAAATAATGTACCTACAAAGCCTTACCGCTCAGAGCAATTTCTTCCAGGCAACTTTTGGATGGATTGAAATTATTGTAAACCGGTGGTAGATATAATATAAGAGTTCAAGCAATCAATAATTATGGCCTTAACCTATGAAATACGTATGTACTTATCATGCATAAACATTATTATCCATTTATAAATTAAATACTATACACACATCCGTGTGGTGACGGATTAAGAATACGGAGTGTCACAACCCTATTATCCCGTAAGTGTCGGAAGAGGCGACTAGCAGTGGCCCGTCTGGCAGTGGACTATTAAAGGCTGTTGATGATGATGATTCATACTGCAATATATACCTTAATATATTTATATATATATATATGCGAGTATATATACATTTTTCATATCTGAGTAAGAGTACAGTGACATAATGGTCGTAAAACATACCTAATTAATACCTAATTGTAGATTTGGTCATAAGATACAGCATGTACCGTTACTTAAATGCTCTCATGTTCCTAGTACCTAGTAGACATTTAATGTATCAAGGCCAAAAATATAAGCTTATTCGAAAAATAACGTACCCAAAAAAACAACTTCCATCCTAAGTTTATGGTTCAAGTCGATCCATAAAAGTCTAACACCGTACACCGAAAAAGCATTCGGATAATCAAAGACTCGTCCTTGTTTTACTTTGGTCCCTTTGTAATTCCTGTGGCGAGGTTGCATTCTCTCCGTGGCACGGCGCGGGCCCACGTCCGCCAAGGTGCATGAAGGCCGTAAAATATTCCTGGTGAGTTCAGTGCCAACCAACGGTTTTATAACGACAAGTTACATTTAAGTTGCTCATTCATAGAGTGAAGTAAATTTAATTGTACGGGTAAATAAAGTCGTAAAAGTAAACAAATTCCCGCCTAAAATCTATTTGCATGAAATTGTCATATTGTGATAATACGCTAAGTGTAAGTTTGTTTTGTTCGATAAAGTAAACAAGAAGCGGTAGTTTCCTTACTAATTTATCTAAATAAATAATAGTATCAACATGAAATTAGGGCAGTAATTAAATAAACATCATACTATCAGTGTGCCGATAAAATAACTGGACGTTTTACTAACCTGAAGGCTCGGCGCAGTCACTCATGATCCAAGTTGCATTTTAACCTCAAAAGACACCTATTGCACGGTCACGAATCGCGAAGGTCACGGTTATACTATATTGCATAATATCACCAAGCTTCACAAGTACAACACAAGTAACTGTAGGGATTTACAAAAAACAATACACGACCGAGAAATACTGTTAATGCTGTTATCATAAACACACGAATGCACAGTTCGATGCACGTTTATATTTCAACAAACGACGCGAGTTTCCATTCAACACTCCATCAAATCGCATATTTGAAGAATTATCTAAATAAAACAAGCACCAGTGATGACTTGATATCATAAGTTTTATGCAGTTTACGAATAAACATGTCACAGCCGTGCACTGCACTCCGTCTGACACGACGAATATGGCGGATGAATTTGAACTACGCTTGCGCGGCATAAGGCAAGCAACGAGAGCCGTTGGTCGCCGGCAGGTACAAAACAAGGACGTAGGTGCTGCCATCTATTATCACTAGTGAGAACTGTTACTGTAAGAGACGTTAGACGTACACAAGTAGTTTTACAGACGTTTGATAGGGTGCACTGGTTTTCATCTTCTTTAACAATTAAAGTAAACAAATATTTTTTTACTCGATCATCCTTGGTGCTTCTCGTAGGTTCTTCCGGATGGACCTGTTGGCCTGGGAGCGTGGTAAACAAGGTACGGGTCCCGCGGGCAACCAACTTGTTAACTACGTCCGGGTCTCGTGGCAGGCTATGTCTGTCCGGCGGTTCGCGATAGTAGGGCTCGAGCTCCGGCAGGTCAGGCCTCGAAAAAAGTTAACCAGGCTTTCCACATTCCTTTTCATCTTTAGATAGTATAAAATGAAGTCGCATTTTTTTCTTGTATGCTTAGATCTTTCAAACTACGCAACGGATTTTAATAGGGGTTTCGCCAATAGAGTGATTCAGGAGGCAGGTTTATATGTATAATACATGCATATCATAGTAGAGCTAATCCGAGAATTTGAAAGATTTGTAATTGAAGTCGTAAAAAACAGGTTAAAAAGATCTACAAAAATCTATTTTATAAATTATCTCCTAAGGATAAACCACAGTAACTATTTAACATATAACAAAACATAATTAAATTTAATTTACGAAGGTATTTTGAACAATACAATATTTTTCCATTTCCAAATAAGTAGATACGTTGTCATACGGCATATCATTAAAATGAATATCTTGGAAGATATCAGAGGTTTAAATTGGTACGTACATACGTAGGTACTGGTTAGGTGCCTTAAAATGTTTTTGTGTCCACCGAACTACACTCGATCATATTAGTTAGATTGTATAGCCAGGTACTTATTGCAGTTAAAATATGACATGTTTAAACTCATCTTTACCAAATTACGGACCGAGTGAAATTGTTACATGGGTTAGGTACGAACAGAGTTGCACCAGGGACTTCCTTTCTAGGGTATACCTGGTTCCCCGGCTATTAGTACCCGGCGACAGCGTGCGGTTTTAGTCGGTTCGAGTCCGACATGCCACCGACAGGTGGTATCCGAGGGGATTTCCGCACAAAAAAAAAAAAAAAAAAAAAAAAAGGTACGAAAAGAGTTGGTATTGTTCCTACTTATATTTAGATTACCTTTGACTATCAATCTCTGGGTAAATTCTTTTGAAATATGAATGAAAGAAATAGGATCTTCTCTTGCTTGAAAAATACTTTATTCTTCGAAATCTAAATTTAAAAGATGCTATTTTAAAAAATTGTTGCCTGACTGACTGTGACTACAACCAATGCAACTATTTGGAAACGTTATTTAATGAAGGTTTGTAATCTATTACCTAACCTTAATCATATATACTTACATAATACATAATCAATGCGAGAGTTTAAATATGGTGTCTACATTTCATCAGCTGTTTTCAGAAATGCTGCGAGGAAACGTTTATTAATGCAAAAGTACTATCAACGGTGGTTCTAAGAGAAAACATGGGCTTAAATAATCTAAGGAAAAGAGCTTGCCTTGATTAAAATATGAAAGTCAATAATAAAACGAGTTTTTTAAATACAATACATATATTTTTTGAAGATATTTACAGCTGGTGAAATAAATGTATCGTAATAGACAAAATTATATAAACCATAACACAACTTACTAAATAGTTCTAAGTATTTTTAGAAGACCAGAGAATCTACATAACAAACCATGTTGCAGTGGTTATTGGAACAATTTCAGAACTGTCAATTTACTTCAAACTTAAGGTACAATTTAAAAAGTTGCAAGTTGCAGATATTGTAATGTCGTAGTTTATCAACAGCCTTTAATGGTCCACTGCTGGACATCTGGACATAGGCTTCTCCTTAGAAAGGAGGTTTTGGCTAGACGGGTTGGTATAGGGTTTGTTTTAAGTTTTCCTTCTTTTTGTAGTGCTTTTGTCCTGCGTTGTTTGCGCCCTTACTATACTCACGGAGTTAATAGTAATGGTGACATTCCGTATTCGTAATCCGTCACCACACAAATAGTTAGTAATTAACTATGTTCATAAGAGTTACCAACAAACCTGCGTACTTTGCTCCTACTGCTTAGTCGACTTCTACGACACCCACGGGATGAAAAAGAGTGGAGTCACTCCGTATTCTTAATCCGTCATCACACGGGTGTCGTAGTTGTATAGCTTTATTTAATATTATGGTAAAAGACTTACAGCCAATCTGCTCTAAATCTTAGTTAGTTCAAGATGGTGTTAAGTTAAACTAACATTCCAATGTTTCCTTCACTGGTTGATATTGATGGCAACTCAGGTTACTTAGATATAATATGTGTATGGTTTTATCAATCACCAAATAAATGTATTTTGAATTGTCTAATAAATACTATTTATTCCTAAAATAGTACATCTGTCACCAAAATTGAAACACTAAACAATAACAAAACGGTAACTTAAAATAAATTAAGAATTATTTAGAAATAATTTCAGTCATCAAAAAATTGTATTTGGTTTCAAAATTTGATTGCAAGATCGGTGAAAATTATTCTAGATTCTAGTTAATTACAAAACTGCGACCCTCTTTGAGACACCTAACCTTAAAAGTGCTTATTTACAATAGATAGTGTGTGGGAAAGCCATGTTTCGGTACAAAAGGGCCGGCTCGACCAGAGTGATACAACGGCCTCATAGCATAGTGCATTCCAGTGCTAGGCAAACACCAACCCCCCCCCCCCCCACCCCCTTCTCCCTAGTATATTGGGGAGAGCAACGTTTGGCCACGTACTTTTGACTATTGCGTGCAGAAGTGCAAGCGCGATGGACGACGTTACATACAAATTTACCTTAATATGATGATTCATATTTAGAGACCGTTTGATTAATTTAATGACTAATGTATTTCATAGGTACAGATATCATAGATAGGGTTTTCATCGTCGTATTGCAGGTCAGTGACAAATCGGTGACAGAAAATATAATCGCCATAATATACATATATATGTATTCAAAGTTACCGGGTTTGAAGTTAAGTTTTTCGAACGGATTATTTGTCACTACAGAATGACTGAAAACCAGAATAAGGCTTTAAGGCGGCAGCCTTCATTATTCCTGAATTCATTGTATAGTAATTACCCGAACCATGTCTGAAATTACGAAACTACACGATGCTAACTGCGACCCGGTACACTGCAATTAATATATTATTACAAATTTATAAAATGCAAATCAATGTCTTTGTATTTCATCTTTTTTCAAACAACAATTTAGTCATCGACCCTAAAATGATACAAATTATTTTCGCCTAGTTCTATATCTCAGAGCTATAAGTGCTAGACTATGGAATAATAGGTATAAACCAAAGAGAGCTAAGACGTCATTCCAAAGGTTGCTGGGTACAAAGTCGTATGTGTCGAGAACTTGATCGCCGCTGTCGAGACAGGGTATGTCGGGACGATCTGTCGTACATGCTGTAACAGAGCAACAGTTTTAATAAGCACAACAGATAAACCTACCTAGATGGTCCTGTTCGGGAAATATCCTGGTTACAAGAAAGTTAAGAGTAAAAACAAAGGTAAAATAAATTAAATCTTCGAGCTTTTTACACATAATACCAAGATTAAACGACTTTGATTTAAAATCAATTCAAATCCTCTTTCCAGTTGACACTACGTTAAATAAAAAAAAAGGTTTGAATGAAACATTATATAGAAAATTTGCGTGTTTAGACCTTTTTTTTATAGAATTGTCCAGGTAAAACACATGGCGATATGCAGGGTTTCCCCACAAAAGGGTCTACCAGGTAAGCATGAAACAACACAATAAAAATATTTATGGCTCCTACATCTTTTTTCTATTTAAAACGCATTTCAAACTATTTATAACAACAGAGTGTTTAGTCCGTGTCAGTAATGATTTTTGTAAATGGGTTTTTAAAACGGTGCTTGCAGATGCTTCCGTTCTTACGTGACTAGAATATTGCCTTTAAAAATTACTAGGCAGAACTTGACGCCATTTATAAATCAAAAGTTAAGTAGATGATTTGTATGCATAAAAGTAAAATAGATAAAAGTTATTTCTGTTTTGTAAAAGCATATGGGCCGCTGAGTATTCGGGGAAATGAGACGCCGGAGTCATCGTTTTCTATTTCGAATACTCGCAGGTTTCAGCGCTGTCCCTAGAGCTTTATCGGGGCATTGCGATATTGTATTTAAGCTCCATTTTTCTCGTTTTACATAAATTTTATTTCAATTTTATATTCATAAACATCTTTAAAATGAATATTTATTATAAACATCAACATTTTTATTGATCTTAAATTAAGTACCCTATATCTTAAACATAAACAAAACTCCTACAGATTTTGGAGAACATCATTGAAATATATAGCGTATATTTAATGATGCCATTGTATGTATCTGTTAATTAAAAAAGGAGTGGCCGTGAGTATATTTGCCCTTCTCATGAGGCTCAACGGGGCGGCTGTAGATCGGCACAGGCGTTTAAGAGATTTTCACTACGTATGTATAAATTTAGTTTGCTAAATATTTGACAAAACAGAGATAGTTGCTATTGTGTGTGTTGATCTATGACTTTAGAGTCTACACAAGAGACAATTGCAAATAATTAAAAACAAAATTGTCAAATAAAAATATTTTGAGTTTGAGTTTGATAAATGGGAATTTATTTCTGATCGCTAAATTATGAAATCTCAATTGCAAATAATACTGGTTGATTTTATTAATCTTATTTTTCGATGACAAACTTTTCTTATCTTAGGCTTCTAGCGGCCTTTGCCAACTGGCGTCTAGAGCGATTCGTTTGATTTTTAGCACGCTTTAATTAACTTGGTATATATTTATTTATGTAAAGGAATCTTTAAACGTGATTTTGACCCACTTCAAAACATCGAATTGAATTGGAACTTCGCACACTTATTAAGGACCGATGACAATACAATAATTTGATAAATTTTAATGTCCTGATTGGGATCTTCAGGATTACAGCTTTTTCAATACCTAAAAATACGGTAGTGTCTTTGCTAGGTACTAAAGCATGTGTGACTTACTTGTTATTTTTTAGTGTTATGACGAAAATAATCATCATTAGTAACTAAAAAGAAAAATTAAATTATCGTTAAAAAACTAAAAAACATGCTTTTGTAACTAGACGAACAAAAAGGAGGACGAGAAAAAATGGAGCTTAAATACAGTCTCGCAATATCATGATAAAGGGCAAGGGACAGCGCTGAATCCTGCGAGTATTCGAAATAGAAAACGATGACTCTCATTGCCCCGAATACTCAGCCGCCCATAAAATAATAATTTTGCTATAAGTTCAAAAAGAAAAATCATTTTATCGTAAAAAAGCGTGGGGTGCTTTTCAAGATATTTTATAATATAATAACTTTACTTTTACCATTATCTGTCAATTAAACATTTTTACAACAATTGAGATCTAGCACCCTCCGCATTCTTTGGGCTTGTGCCAGCTGTTTTGGGCAAAGTATGACTACTGTTTTTTTCATTAGTATGATTTTATAATACTCATTAGCATGACTATATATATGTACATAGCACTAATAAATCTCAAGTCAAATACTCGTATCGTATCCTACAAATAAATAAACGGAAATTGTGGCAATTATATGTATGTATATTTTAATGTGTCAGTGTAAGCTTCGTATTGTTTGATCTTAAACTGCTGTGCAGTATTTAGACTTACTTATATTTTGGATTCCATTCCACTGAATTATGCTCATTGCTTCATTGGAGTACATCAACCAGGACATATAACGGATCCAGGATACGTACTTGGGTATGGAACTGGAATTAACAATAATCTATATATTAATACATGACGAAAATTCTTAGTAGTATATTCAAAAAGTAAATAAATATGGAGCATTTCAAATTTGGAATACTTAATTTTTAAATATAGACTAGCTTTTCCCCGGAGTTGGTCCGCGTGGTATTCGACATCAGACATCGTAAAGGATATGACGTTGATAAAGAATATAATTATACTAAGAGTTCGGTATCGATAAGTTAAAAAAAAAATTCCCCATACAAACCTGCACCTTTTTTAAGTGTAGTTTTGAAAAATTAGTAGCACCGTGTGTAAAAAGAGTGTTCACTGTTAGTTGGGAAACGCTACTACCAAAAATAACGAAGTTTCATATAAATTTAGAAACCCCCATTTTGCTTAGAGGTGGTTTTTTTCATCATAAATATGCAGTCTTATTAGTAGAGAGTGTAGAGTCTCCTTGTGTCAAACAGATTCAGCGCAATCTAGCGAGGACAAGCCGAACTATTTCACATCTAAATTCGGAATTGCCCTTTTTTATCAATAATAAATAAAGAAAATGATATTATTACGGTGATTGCAAATGATAAACTACACTGAGACCTGAGACTATACAGACTACACTGCACTACACTGAGAAGTACAGTAATTTTATCAGAGCCTGTAGAGGGTGAATAGCAAAGTTTCGTAGGTGCAGTAAATAGTAGTTCTCTTTTGAAAATATTATATTAACACTTAGTAGTAGGTACATACGACTACAATAACGAGTAGGTACTACTTAAATCATGTTAACATTTGTTAGGTACCTCAATTTGACAAATATTCCAGATGTTATCATCAATGCGTAGTCAAACGGCACCAGGTACGCGATGGCTAGCGGCATCGAACCAAATGCACACGAGAAGAAGGAACCTGAAAATTATCAATATTAATAGTTTAAAAAGTATTTTATTTGTTTTAAATCTCCTTGTAGCTAATAGTTCAATACTTAGAAGTAGTTAAGTAAACCTGTTGCGGAAGATGACAACCCTGATAGCGAATCATATAATTAAAATATATCTACGTATATGACAAAGTAGCCTCATTGTTTAAATTAGACTTATTCTGAACTAGCTGGTGCCCGCGACTTGGTTCGAATGCCGGACCGGGCAATTTTTTTTTGGGTTTTTCTGAGAGAAAAAATAGCCTAAGTTACTAATTGTATGTACAGCTACCTGGTAGTAAAATATTATCTAAATCGGTCCAGCCGTTTTGAAGATTACGCGGCATAAACAGACAGACAGACTAAAAAATGTTAAACTGGTTTTTAGGCATAGGTATCGTGCAAATAACTGTGTGAGCATGAAAAAACCCTATTATTTTGACATTACAAACGGACACTTTAATTTTATTTATTTGTTACAGTTAAAAAAATAGGTAGGAGTAACTGAAAAAGAACCAGGTAATATAATCTTTCTTTGTTCTAGGGTCCATGCCCTTAATTACAGTATCATGCTTCAGCACATAAGAGTGATACCAGGACCTTACAGGAATTCGGTATTAGGCTAGTGGTTCGTGACTTTTCAATGAGTGAGTGAGGTGAGGAGGCGCAGCCCCCCTAATTCTGGAGCACTAGCGGTATCCGTGGACGACGTTAGTTACTATCAGGCAAATCAATAGCAACAAAAAAATCTTAGATTATTTATATGACGTCATATTAATATTAATAATCTAAGAAAAAAGTATTACTACAAAAGTGTGGTTTTATAAACCAAGATGCAAGTGAAACTTTTTTGGATTTAACTGAAAATTTTCGTAAAACTATTCGATTTAGGGTATTAAAATTGCTTCCATCACGATCAAGTGAATAACAATAATTATAGCAATACACAGATTAAAACACACAAATACCGCGGAGCACGAATGAGTGAGAATAAATGCTACACGATCAGCTGATGCGAGCGCCGCCATATTGGCCTTGGCTGTAATGCGACATATGATGGATGGACGAAAAAAATTGAGGCGATGTAATAAAAGCTATATATTCTTTAGAAGGCCATAGAACATAATATAATCATCATCAACAGCCTTTAATAGTCCACTGCTAGACATAGGCCTCTCCTTAGAAAGGAGGTTTTGGCCTACATACTAGAACATAATAACCACATGTTAAATATTACCTATACACATAAACTTACCACACGCTATAGCAACGTTGAGTACCAATGTCGCAAGAAACACGGTAAAGCAAAACGCGTATACCGAACCTCGTAGTCCAGCTAAAAAGTACACCACCAGGGTGAAAAGTGTCGGTTCTATTAGCAGGCCTGGTAACTGAAAAATAAGTATTTAATCATAATATTATATTTTATAATATTAATGTGTGTTACTGCTGTAAACTATTACTAGCATTATACCTACTAGTTGGTGGTCATATTTTAGAATCGTTTCGTTTAACCTAATAGAGTTAAGATCTAAAAATTGTGTGTGTAAGAAGAAACTCCTGAAAGTCCTTAGACATATAACACAGGGCCGCCTGATCTTAAACTAGGCAAAGCCTGTACTATGGTAACCAGACTACTAATAAACATACTTATATATTTCTACATACATACATATTATAGATAAATTACACCCAGACACAGAATAAATGATCGTGCTAATCACACAATTATTTGAACCCACCACCTCCGGCTTAGCAGTCAGAGTCACTGACCTCTAGACCAACTGGCTTGTCAAGAATGCTTTTCCTAGCACATTTTAAACAACGTTTTACGCTTGAAAAATATCCTTGAAATTGACATGAAAGTCAATTTCAAGGACATTTTTCAAGCGGACATTGAAAATCTAAATATTCTTTAAACATAGGTATTTGGCATTAAATACCTGCATATAACCTAATTAATGGCAACCCTATGTCTTCGAAACATTAACTAGACCGACAAGGTTAATTTCCTCGTACCTAGGCATGTGCAATTTTTCTGTAATTGTAATTAATGCAAATTTATTAATATTATTTTGATCGTGCAGTCTAAAACTTACCAAAGCAATCATTCTGGCCAGGTAGTACACAGTTGCTGAGTACAGTCCAGCCTTCAACTCCCTGTTAAGCAGAGGGAACTCTTCGGGAAACATATGCAGCACAGAGTACATAGGAATGAAGGTGTTCTCAGCGATGATGATGAAGAGCGCTCCTTGCACGTCCTGTATGCCTGTTTGAGTGTGGTTTGCTGTGCCCATAAAACAAAGGCCAGCTGTTACGGCTATTGCCTGGAAGTAGATAATACATGCTTAAACTTTGTGCTACTAAAGCAATAATTCCGTAGGAGCGCTATGCTTTTCCATGGGCTCACCCATGGGCCCTTATGTGACCAAGAATGTATCACCATGCTTGGCCACATAAGGGTCGGCTCGATCGGAGTTGAGAATTTTTTTTCGTTGCAAAGGGAGCCCAAACCCCTCCCTTTTCTCTTAGGGTTTAGAAAAAAAATGAGCAAATTCTCTTTATCATCTTAGTTACTTTCGCGATTGGCATATTGTGATGCTTCAATGATTTAATTTGTAAAATATTCAGTTTACACCAGTAGCATTCATTATTATTTAATTTATGTCGAATCATAATGTTTGTCGTATAATATTTGTTAATGATATGCTTAAACATGTTTCCATTTGTTTTATCTATTTTATTTTTATGTTCTTTTAGAGACCAACTTTATACTTACAAATTTCTGTAGAATTCGGACTAACTGAACTCTCGGGTCCCGGATGATTATTATTAGATATCTATAGATCAGCCAAAGCAACTTTGTTAGGAACGAAGGAGCTTGCAACGTATCGTGTTCATCACGGGGGGATACCGCATTCGTCTGAAAAAAAATAAAATTGAAATATATTCTGTGGTGCATCAGTTATACTTGCTGACTATCGCGTAGACTGCTTTTTGCTACAATGCGTAAAAGATCTCTGGTGAGGTACACGGCAGCCAGGCCCTTTGCTGCTGGGCACTCTGGACACGTGCTAAGGGCGCCTTGATCGATAAGAGCCCCAAATTCCTGCCAGGTCCCCAGTCGATAATTTTATTTATTTATTTATAAAGCTTAGTTGGTCCCTTACTATAAGATAAGTTTGTATATTAAATATCGTTGTTTAGTTAAAATTAAACATGCCAGTCGATCATTAATCGAAATTAATTACCGAAACACATATTTATTTCGAAAAAATCCGGAGATAATGACTGACTACCCACTATAGTTTCTTTGTCTATTCTGGCAAAATATTGCTCAGTCAAGATATCTTGACTGCACGGATGGCCTAATGGTTTAAGCGGTCGCCACGCCGCTTACTACTAAGCTGAGTGTTGTGGGTCCGATCCCCACGTTGGACGACACTTTGTGTAATTCACAAATTGTTGTTCTGAGTCTGGGTGTTCCTTGTGTCCGTTTCATGTATGTTTAGCCTAGCGACACAGGCTATATTTCTAATGCGGGAGTTGTCTTCTTTAAAAAGAATAAAAAAAAGGAGGTCGTAGGGGCCCATTACCTTGGGTGGGTATGTAGGGAGGGAGGTCGCGTCACCTACCGACTGACGCAGGAACTCACTGGGCAAGGTTGCTTCGGTGAGTACCTGAATCGGATTGGACGCGAGGAGACGGCACAATGCCAGCACTTTCTGCCGACACTTTTTGCTACAGTACGCACGGACTTGCTTAGATCTTTTACAGCTTTTTTTAAACACTAAAAAGCGAAAAATTCAAATCACTATATTGCGAAAATGGGTAAGTACAATGATTATTGTTATATAATAATGTGGCATAGCTTCTCCATTATCGGCCTCTCGGCATGTAATATTTAACATTTTATAAATTACATACTTTAGGAATCTAATTACAACATTGCTCATATTTAGAGATTTAAGAATGTCAAGATTTCATATATTTATAACTAGAATTAAATGAAAAGAGGTTTTATGTCAATAGAATGTACATCCAGTGATGTCGGTGATCACGGATGTAATCACAACAATTTAAGATTAAAACAAACACATATGAAACATACTCGTATTACCTATGTACAGTCTATATCATTTTAATTTTTGTGATTCGTCCACTTTATAGTAAGCCTTTGGCAACAGAAATTGCTTAACCATATTTTTTAAATTACTGAAACACGTAATTTCTATTAAGCGTTTAGATAGATGGTTATAAACTCGTTGCACCATGCAAAACACACTTCGATCTATTAAAGCACTTTTATGCTGAACACAACATATTTTGAAATTGTGACGCTTACTTTTATACCTATCAAACATAAAAATTTGAAAATACAAATACAATAAAACACAAAAATAAACTTAATTATTTATATTATTAAAAAATATGCAACCTTTTTCATATAAACTTGTGCAAATATTTCTTATTTCCAACTAGTATATTTTTTTAACAAATTTTAAATTTCTAATTATTGTGTTTTAAAAATATTATAGGCCTATTTTATGTTCACTCTTGTATGTTTTAGCATTAATATATATCTTGCATATATCTTAAACGAGAAATACTTGTAAAATAAGAATATCTATATTTTATCTTTCTTCAATGAGAAATGGTTTTGATAACAATCTCAACCACATTTAAATACATAATTTAAAAGTATATATGTGCATAAATAAACATTAATAGTATCGATATATTTAGATCTTCTTAAGCGATTTAATAAAAAAAACCCGAGTGATGTGGTCCATCAACCAAGCATCGCTCAGGGCTTTTATTTTAGGTTGTACTATTTATAATAATATAATAACGCTAAAGTGTTTTTTGTTAATTGTTTTTTCAACAACCCAAATATCTTAAAAAAACACTTGGATAGAATACAATATTTCTAATCTAATTGAACACGGTTAAAAACACGTTCCAGTGATTGAGTCAACGGGGAACAAAAACCATATTTAAAAAAAAATATATTTGTTTTAACATAATAATATTATTTCGTTTATGTAGGAATGCAAACAAGGTCTAGCCAGATTTGAATGTGACGTGTGCGCATCTAAATGACTTATTATATTATTCATAGATCGTAACATATGTATTTTTATGCTATATGTAGATATGATTTGTGCGATCACGATTTATATGGGTCTAGCAGCGCAATACTTTGACCTTGAGGTGTAAAAAAGTAGCGTAGGTATAACTGTCCAACCCAAAGAGTCTTATCTTTATAGTCATTAGAGTTAGACAGATAAATCCAACGCGAGACTTTAGGTATAAGGTTACACGTTTTCCACTTCTTCCGAGTCTTTTTCCCAAACTATCTGAACTTCGATTGTTTTCGTGAAGCTACTAGCCGCTAGATGTCGGACTTTTTGCTGTTCCAACTACCCGTGAAGATTGACACAGATGTTCGTATAACAACCAGGACTGACGGCATAACGTGCTCTTCGACGCACGGAGGGATGTTAGTGTATTGAGACCTACTCGGTAACCAATTAGCCACGAGCCCCTCATATAAAACTTTTGTCGACTCGAGCAACAAACTCTTCAAAGGCATTTTGTACTGCCTCTTGGGAATTGAATTTTTTACCCACTAAAAAGTTGTCTAAATTTTGGAAAAAGTAAAACCCACCATCTTTCGCCCCAAGCCAACCTCACCTGCCCGCGGTGGATCCTGCTGAATGACGAACGAGGCTCTGGCGACCGACCGATGGCGGTATATCCATCCCAATAGGCGTAGCTAAATACAAGAGGCCGGTGACGGGCAGCAACGTTACCGGTGCGACAAGCTACGCCCTGCGATCGCCAACCCGCCTGCCCAGCGTGGCGATTATGGGCAAACCCTCCCCATGCAGACGCAACAAAGGCCACGGCCCCCAGTTCCCTTCGGCCCCGCTATTCCTGGTCATGGTAGCGACCACGGTAAAGGCGGGCAGGGGGTGCGAAGAATCGCCGGGCTACGGGAGGCCACCACAACCGACTGACCCTGGCTACGTACAACGGACGCACGCTACGGCTAGACTCGCATCTGGCGCAACTTGAGGTGGAACTTGAAGTCCGAAGAGAGGGGGAGGGAACACCATAACCCTCGAGTCAGGCCACCTAATGTACTTCCGCGAGGGAGACCAACAATCCAAAGGTGGCGTTGGGTTTCTGGTAAATAAGTCCCTATCTGACAACGTTGTGGAAATTTCATGTGTGTCGAACAGGGTAGCGTACCTCATTATCAAGCTCACCGAGAGGTATAGCCTCAAAGTTGTGCAAGTGTACGCACTGACCTCGGCACACTCGGACGACGAGGTGTAGGATATGTACGATGACATATCGAGGGCCCTCCACTTCACAACTAAGACCCACTACAGCGTTGTTATAGGTGACTTCAACGCTAAAGTGGGAGTACAGAATTGCGGCGAATCGGTAGTAGGATCCCATGGATTTGGAAGCAGGAATCATAGGGGGCAAATGCTGGTCAACTTCCTCGAACGGGAGGGGCTCTTTTTGATGAACTCTTTCTTTAAGAAACAGCCCCAAAGGAAGTGGACGTGGCAAAGCCCCGACGCTATGACCAGAAATGAGATCGATTTCATCATGACGGATAGAAACCACATATTCAGAGACGTCTCAGTGATCAATAGGTTTAATACCGGTGGTGATCACCGACTTGTCCGGGGCTCTCTGAATATCAATTTTAAGGCGGAACGTGTCTGTTTGATGAAATCCAGGCTCCGACCGACTCTGCTCCAAGCCATGACAGGATCTGAAACGTTCCAGTCAAAACTGGAAAACCGATTCGCTGCCGTGGAAACCACAATCGACGTTAACCAGAACCTCGAAAATGGGGTTCGGATCCTCAGGGAAGAAGGTACGAGATTTTGTGAAATGCAGCGTAAGGGCAGGAAGTCGAAGCTTTCAGAAAGGACCCTAGGGCTGATGAAGAAACGACGTGAAAACCCACCTGTCACTTTGTCGGCAAAGCGGACTCTAAACCGAGAGATCAGTAAACTCGTACGACTCCACCCTTTCAATTGAAAGAGCGATCGAGCAAAATGGGGGTCAAAAGTGTTCGTACAATCTCTTGGAAGAAGCCACCTGACAAAGTTGACCTCAGAAAGTGGGGAAGTCGTTGCTTCGAAGCCGGCAGTCCTTTTGGCAGTGGAAAGCTTCTATGGCCGGTTATACGCTTCGCATGCATCTCGACCTGATCCCGAAAATGAGGACTCTAGAGCCACATTAACACGTCACTACACCGAAGACCTGCCAGAAGTTAGCATTGACGAAATCGAGATGGCTTTTGGACAGCTGAAAAATGGAAAAGCCCCTGGAGAGGATGGCGTAACAACAGAGCTGGTAAAGGCCGGGGGTAAACCTGTACTAAGGGAGCTCCAAAAGCTCTTCAACGCTGTCCTGTTTGAAGGGAGAACTCCGGAAGTGTGGAGTAGGAGTGTGGTCGTCTTGTTCTTCAAAAAGGGTGACAAGACCAGGTTGAAGAACTATCGACCCATATCCCTTCTAAGCCACGTCTACAAGCTGTTTTCGAGAGTCATCACGAACCGTCTTGCGCAAAGACTCGACGAATTCCAACCACCGGAGCAAGCTGGGTTACGGAGCGGATATGGCACCATAGACCACATCCACACAGTGCGGCAGATTATACAGAATATCGAAGAATATAATCAGCCCCTGTGTCTAGCATTCGTGGACTATGAGAAAGCCTTTGACTCGATCGAGATCTGGTCTGTTCTGGAGTCCCTGCAACGTTGCCAAGTAGATTGGCGATACATCCAAGTGATGAGATGTCTCTACAAAGCCGCCACCGTGTCCGTCCAAGTTCAGAATCAGCAAACAAGGCCCGTACCATTGCATCGAGGAGTGAGACAAGGGGAC